CCCAGGCCCACGGAGTCACACACCCCTGGGCGGACGGTCAGGCCCTGCAGCTCCGCCCCTGCTCCTCCGCTTTAGCCCCCGAAGGCCGGGCTTATCCAGGGGCGGCCCCAGCTCACAGGCCCCTCCTCCTGGTCCCCGGGCCTCGCCCCTCACTCTCCCACGCAGGCCCCGGACGGGGTTGCTTTTGGGGGAACCGACCAGCGCCCGCTCCTCCAAGTCCACTAGCTTCTGAGTCAGAGACGGCCCGAGACACCCTGACGCGTGTGAAAGAGCCTTTGTTCTGGGCAGGCTGGGGGAGGCGGGGTGCAGAAGCCAGACCTGGAATCCTGGCGGGGAGGGAGAGCGGGAGGAAGGCCCCCTCGCTTAACCCTTCCAGGCCCAGCCGGGAAGGGCAGCTGACCTTGGGCAGCCTATTAGCTGTGGCTACTCACCCGCTCACCCAGACCTCCTTAGGGAGTTACAGGTGGGGTTCAGGCCTTGGCACTGTGGAGAGCGCACGGCCCGGGAGGAAACCGTCAGACTAAAGGCTGAACCCCTCTCAGGCCCCAGGAAAGGAAGCCGAAAGTCTGGGCGTGGGAAACATCCCCTGATCATTGAAAGGGGTCACACACACGCACCCCCTCCCAGCCCTTCAGCGGCACGGGGGAGTGACTGGGGAGGGAGGGCGTGGGCGCAGTGGGCCGGCCTGGCCGACGGGGGAGACCGACGGCGGAGACTCTCCCGACGGGTGAGGCGGGTTGCGAGACGGGGCTGCCGGCCGGGGGCAGGACCGGCGCCCAAGCCAAGGGTCCGAGCTGTTGGGGCCTAGCTGCCCACCGCCCTGTGCCCGGGGATGCCCGGGAGGCGCCAGACACATTTAGGGACTCGAGCCTGGGGCCCCTTACATCGAGACCAACCGAAGTTTGTCCAGACAGAGCAAGTCATTCCAACTGGGCCAGGGAGTGTCCGGGGTGGCACAGGTCCGCCTAACGTGCAGACGGTCGGTCCGCGCCTGACTTTTAAAGTCAACAGCCAGGGCTCCGGCCGCCTC